GAGCTGGGGCTGTGTGTATGTTGTTGGACTCTGAGACAGAGATCCTGAACTGTCCTCCTTACCCTTCCCTCAGCCAGCTCCGTGGTGGTATTGGTGGATTGAAGGTGATTTAGTGTTTGATGCTCTGGATGCTTGTTGGGAATGTGGCCTCCAGATGAGGGAGAGAAGGCAGGGCTGGACAGGGCAGCATGGAGCTGGGTGTACTGGGTGTACTGGGAACCTGCTGCCTCTGACCCTGCCTGTTCCCCCAGGGATTGCTGTGCCCGTGGGGGAGGCTCATCGCCACGAGCCCCCAGTCCCACATGATGAGGTGGTCGTGGACATGGGGCGGGAGCGGGAGGAATCCAGCGAGAACAAAGTGGCTCCCGGAGCAGCCAACGACCGTCTGCTGGAGGAGCCAGCCAGGCTGAAGCCCCAGGAGGCACTGGGCCCAAAACAAGGGAAGGAGGTGGTTGCTGAGAACCAGCAGCGGGGAGGGACCAGTGGGCCCGTCCCAAATCTGGAGAAGGTCCCAGAGGCAGCAGTGCAGCAGAGGGGAAGGCCACCCTACAAGGAGCTGGAGCCAGGGGAAGCCAAGCTGGAAGCCAAGGCACAGGCGGCCGTGCTGGATGGTGACACTGCCGAGGCTGCTAAGCAGGACATGTCACAGCTCCAGCTCCCCAGGAAAGCAGAGGAGGCTGCAAAGTCTGTGGAGAAGGAAGCAGACCCTGGTAAGCTCCTTTCACGACAGCTCATCTGAGCAAGTTCTTCTGGGCCTACAATGCCGCTGGAGTTGGGACAATTTGGTCATTTTCATCTCCATCCTGGTGCTTCCTTTTAACTCCACGAGTGGAGCTCATGAGTGAGCACAGCCCCTCCGGCAGCTGCTGCGGGAAGGGAGGAATCTGGTGGCTTTGACAGCTACTGCAAGAGCTGTCAAACAGTTGTTCGCCACCCGCCAAAATGTCAGGTGCCATGCTGTTCCTGCACGGCTCCCAAATCACCGGGGACACAGAGCCGGGAGATCTTGACAGGGAACACATTGCCAAGTGCCCGTCTAAAAGCCAGTTAGAGCTGTTCTTGCATGTTAATTGGCCGAGGTAGTTAGTGCTGGCTCGCTGCCACCAGACATGGGATTGTTAAATATTGGGTTTATTACTTCCCTCGCAGCCGTCGGGTTGGATGCAAACGGTGCCGGGATGGCGTGGAGGCGTTTTAGGGAACATCTGCACTGACAGCAAAGCTCTGTCTTCCTTTGCAGGTGAGAAGCAGGAGCTGCCCCTCCCGGAGAGAGCAGAACTGCTGGAGAACCAGAACACTGAGGAGAAACAGGAGAAGGCAGGGGGTGAGTGTGTGTCCCCGGGGCGTGCAGGGACGGGTCTGGATTTCCCCAGATCCCTCTCTGTGGAAGGATGGTGTCTTGAGGCCACAGCCCCTGCATAGCGTCAGGCCTGTCCCATCTCTGACACACCTGGCAGGGCCACTTGGGGACCTGAGTCGTGCTGGCACCTGGGCGCAGCTGCTCCCTGGTGTTGGAGCCCTGGGAAGAGGGAGACAGGAGTGAAACTGCTCTGGCAGCACGGCGGGAGGGGCGTGGGCAGGGGCACACGGGGACACCTGAACACATCACAGGGAAAAGCTCCTTTCCCTCAAGGCCCCTGCTGCTCTGCCCCTGGGGCATCAAAGCTGCAAAGCCCTTCCTCAGGCTGAGCTCCTCCCTCCAACCTCTGTCTGGCAAGGGGAGGTTGGAGCCTGAGCTTGGGCTTGTGTGCAGGTCCCTTGCTCTCATCCTGTCCTCTTCCAGCTTCCTTCCCTCTCTCCTGGCAGGGTTTGTGGAGTCAGATCTTCCTGCAAGGAGAGCCCTTGCAGCCCATCCAGAGCTGACATGATTTCTGAGGGCTTTGGGTCACAGGGGTTTTACTTTCTCTGTCTTTTTCCCCTTTTCCAGAAGCAGGGCCAGCAAAACTGCTGGACCACAACGTGCTGCTGCAGGTGATCAAGGAGCAGCAGGTGCAGCACAAGCAGCTCCTGGACCAGCAGGCAAAGCTGCTGGCAGTGATCGAGGAGCAGCACAAGGAGATCCACCAGCAGCGGCAGGAGGAGGGGGCAGAGGAGAAGCCAAAGCCAGGTAAGGACGTGGCCAGGGAGCAGGACCTCTCCAGAGAGTGCTCACGGCTCAGAGCGACTCTAAAATCAAACTGGGAGAGATCTGAACTCCTTTGGCACATGGCAAAGTCCACTTGCACAGCCATTTCTGTAGGGGTAACCCACAGCTCTGCTCTGCCTCCCATGCGGCCTCATCTCGTGTCTCACAGGATGTGGTGGCAGGAGAAGGGAATGTCCTGAGAAATCCTTTTCCATGTGGGTTTTGTCCTGCAGCAGAAGCACAGCTGGAGCCTGCCATGCCCCTCTCCAGGAGCAGGGAGGACGAGGGCCTCGGAGCCAAGGGAGACACGGCCGGGAAGGTGCTGAGCAAGGAGCAGCCAGGCCAGCAGCCCCCCGATTCCACCAAGCAGCACAGGGGCATGGTGGGGAATCTGGAAGAGGCTGGGCAGAGGCATGACATTCCTGTGGCTGCTCCCAAGGAGCGGAAGGTGCCGCTGCAAGAGAATGACAGAGCTGTTAAGAATCCCGTGGAGAACTGGGATCCCCTCCACGGGGATGCCCAGCGTGTTCCAGCAGCCAGAAACCACCTGGAGAAAAAGGCCTTGGCAGAGGATTTGGGAGGAGAACGTGAAGCCAAAGCTGGAAGAGATGTCCACCAGAAGAAGAATTTCCTGAAACCCGTGGAAGCAGCTACAGCTCCCATCCAAAGAGAACAGCCGGGGGCTGCCAAAGTTCAGGGAGTAGCAGGAAAGAGTTTGGAAAGAGACTCAGGAACAGACCTTAAAGCCAAAACTCTGAGTCAGGTGGAGCCCAAGGACCTGGCAGTGGTGCCGGACTCTTCCAGTAACAGGAATGTGGCAGTGAGGGAGCAGCACCCCCGGGAGAGGGAGCGGCAGAGAGGGGCGCCGGCCGAGGGAGCGGGCGGGCGGCAGCGGGACCCGCCTGGCCACGGGCACGGGAAGGAGGAGGAGCCCCGGGAGGAGCCGGGGGGCCGGCAGGGCCGTGGGGGTGGGGGGCCCTCCAATGGCGACCCTCAGGATGCTCCAGCAGGGAAGTCTGAGAACGGAGCGGCCGCCCCCAGGGATCCGGAGCGCGATGTGAAACCCAACCGGGAGCTGAAGCTGCAGGGGGGCCTGGACCTGCGCCGCAGGAGACGGGACCTGCTGCCTCCCGAGCAGGAGGAGGACGGGGAGGAGGAGGCGGCTGCAGCAGGAGCAGGGGGGGTCCTGATCGGCCTGAACCCCCTTCCCGACGTGAAGGTGAACGACCTGCGGAGCGCGCTGGAGACGCGGCTGAGCCGGGTGGCCGAGGGCGCGCAGCACCTGGTGCGCAGCCGCCACATCCAGCAGGTGACACAGGACAGGAGCCCGTGACGGGGAAGGCTCGGCCTCACTGAGCGTGGAGAGGGCTAAGCCAGCTGCACTTTGCTGGACGCAGTGCTGGGATCCACAGGATCTCCTGGGATCCCTGAGCACCACCCTGGGGGCTTCCAGCAGCACCCCCAGTGTGTGCCTGCGGGTGGCCAAGGAGATGGTGGCACTGGGAGTGACATTCCTGCTGTCCCCTGCCTTCCAGAGCTGCCATCCACCTCAGCTCCCTGCCAGGCCGCTGCTCTGAGGACCTTTTCCAGCATCTCATTCACATCAAATTGCCTTCTCCAACCATCTCCCAACTCCTCTCAGAAGCAGGAAGGGGCTCCATCGCCCCGGCTGTGCCGAGGGGACCTGGGATCCATCCACACCTCGGGAAGGGCTTTACCCCAGAGAAGCCATGAGCTGTGGAGCAGCAGAGCCAGTGCTCCAGTGCTGGACTGGGAGCAGAACTCCTTTGTTTGGGCCACAGTGGTGGTTTAGGAACCTCATTTAGTAGAAACGCTGCCTTAACTGGGCGCAACTCCTGTTGTGCTGCTTCTCTCCCAGGGATGGGGTTCCTTGGCCACACACTGGGGTCACACAGAGCTCTGTCCCCACTGCCCTCCCTGGGTGCTCCTCTCTGTGCTCTCCAGCTCCACTTCCCCTCTCAAAAGTGCATTAAGAAGCTCAACTTCCCCCCAGCCCAGCTTGATTCTTCTGCCAGAGGTGAGTGGTCTGGGAGAAAGCATGGCAGAGCCAGGTGGATCCAGGGGCTCCACCTCCCTTTGCCTGTGTTCCATGTGCTCTTCCCAGCCTCCCCCCGCCCTGTTCTGCATCCAGACAGGTCCCTGCTCCACCTCCACCTGGGAATTTGTTTGGTGAGTGAGGAAGGGAGGAGCTTCCCCAAGAGCTCTGTGTTGTTTCAGGCTCCCAGGGACTCATCCCTTGGGTTTTTTTGGGTTTTGAGTTTTTACACCCTGACCTGTGAATGTACAGAATTCAATCCCAAAGCTCTCCCTAGAACGGCTGAGAATTCCCAGCCTGGTTCCCTCAGACCTCATCACTGTGGTGGGTTTTATATCCCGACCTCCAAATGTCTTTGGCGACCTCAAGTCTGTGTCCAGTGGGACCCTGCAGAGCTGGGACGGGGTGGGGCTGTCCCTGCCTGGTGCTCCCGGGGTGTCACAACCCAGAGTGACAGGGAAGCAACCTGGGGAGTCCTTTGGGAAGACCCCCGGGAACACTGTGGCCTTAAACCCCCTGAACCCAACGAGCTTCTCCATTAACGCTGTCGTCAAGCACAAGCAGCAGGGCCGGGAGGCAGGGACGGCTCCAGGGCTGCCCCGGGGAAGCGATCCGCCTGTTTGTTGTTCTCTGTGTGAACAGAAGGGACCAAAGATGCTCCTGGCATCATTCCTGCTCCTGGGAATGGCGTGGGCACCCCGAGCTGGGCTGGCAGCTGCCTTGTCCCGCCGGGATCGGCTCCCCTGGGGCGGGTGGAACGCTGGCATGGAGAGCCCGGGGCGCGGGCTGAGCCCATCAATAAAATAAGCTGAAGCATTCTGATCTGAATTCTTTTTTTAATAAATTAAAACTGATCTGTGACCCTCACCCAGCCCGGGGCTGCACCTCCTCCGGGCCGGGGAGCGGGTGGGCAGCTCCGGGACCGGGGGCATTCCGTCATTTGAGGACAAACCGGTGGTTTGAGAGGGTTTAATTCCTCACGTCTGCAGGCAGGGGCAGCTCCGGGGTCACTTCGGCGTCGCCTTTGCCTGCAAAGAGCCGCGGTCAGGACGGGCCGAGGCCGCCGCCCTCCGCCAGCACCGGGATCGGGCCTGGCACGGGGACCGGGACCGGGACCGGGACAGGGCCGTACCGCCCGGGCGAAGCACTCGCGCAGCGCCCGGAACTCCTCCAGGCACGTGTCCCGCCGCAGCTCCGCCGGTCCCGCCGCCGCCGCCGCCACGCACCGCCCGTAGGCCGCGGCCTGCGGGAATCACACGGCACGGGAGCGGGGGAACATCGGGACCCGCCGGGCCCGGAGCCGCCCCCTGTGCCTCCCCCCGGGCCCCACCTGGTCCCCGCAGGCCGCCAGCGCCGCCGGGAAGCGCCGCAGCCGCGCCCGCGCCCGCAGCCACACTCCGCGCCCCGACATCGCCTCACCGCACGGGCGCCGCCATGCCCGGGCAGCCGCGATTGGCTGCCCGCCCCGCTCGTCACGCACCGTACTCTCCTATTGGGCGGGACCGCCCTAACCCACGCCCCTTTAATTGGTCATTCGGCGCGGGTGGCTCTGATTGGTGAAAATGCCGGTTGTTTACTTCCCGCCTCCTTCAGGCGTCAACCTCATGGGGCTCTTCCGCCTGGAGCCCCGCCCTCTCTCATCGATGATTGGTTAAATGGCAGAGCTTCGCTCTCTCATTGGTGGAAAGCAACTTCCGGGGGGCGGCTCCCTGACGCCGCCGAGGGAGCGGGCAGGGCCGGTGCCGGCAGTGTCATGGCGGCGCCGCTGCGGGACCGGCTGAGTTTCCTGAGCCGGGTACGGACCGGGGCTTTTGGCGGGTGCGGGGGGGGCTGCCGGGGCGTGACGTCACTGCTCACCTGCGACGTCATCGCTGCATCCCCGCACTCGCTTCTGCAGCGGCCTCACACAGCCCTGACTGGGCCGGGCCTGCCCCGGGGCCTCGGTCCAGTCCCCAGCACCGGGGTTCGGGGCGGGTCCGCTCCTTCTCACGCCGCCCCCTCCTCCTTCAGCTGCCGGTGTTGCTGCGGGGCACGGCCGACGACGACACCCCGTGCCCCGGGTACCTGTTCGAGGAGATCGCCAGTATCCTTCGGGGAGCCGGGGGGGCGCGGGGCAGGGGGGTTCCCCGGGAGAGGGAGGCGTCCCGGGGCCGGGGGAGCTCCCCGGGGCTGCTCCAGGCCGTGGTGGGCTTTGGAGGCCTGCAGGGCTGGGTGGGGCAGCTGTGGGACTGTGGGCCCTGGCTGGGAGCCTGTGGAGGGGCTGAATTCCTGGCACTCGGGGGCCGCTGCTGCCCTCCGATTCCGGCTGCATCCCTAACCCGGCCCTAGAGATCTCCCACGAGTCCCCCGGCAGCAGCCAGTGTCTGCTGGAGCATCTCCTCACACGGCTGCAGAGCAGCTCCTGCCACGTCAAGTTGAAGGTGGGTCCGTGCTGGGAGCACTGGGGGGCGATGGGATGGACCCCCCTGCTCCAGGGAGGGCAGCTGTGACTTGTCCTTGCCCCCGAGGCAGGTGCTGAAGATCCTGCTGCACACCTGCTCGCAGGGCTCGCCCCAGTTTGTGCTGCAGCTGAAGAGGAACGCCAGCTTCATCCGGGAGGCTGCAGGTGACGGCCTGGGGGGACGTGGCAGAGCAGCAACAGCCCCACAGGGGGCTGGAGACCCCAGAAGGGCTCCTGCTGCCGGGGCTGTGCCAGGAGCAGGGTCCTACCCCACCTGGGAGCGTCCCTCACCCTCCCCTCTGTGTCTGCAGTGTTCTCCGGGCCCCCAGACCCCCTCCACGGCAACAGCTTGAACCAGAAGGTGCGGGCGGCCGCACAGGTGGGTGCTGGAGGGACAGGGCAGCCCCCAGCCCCTTGCTCGGGGGGCTCTGGGGCTCCCAGCACTGCCAACACTCCTCTCTCTCTCTGTGTTTCTCCGTCCCACAGGACCTGGCCAGCATTCTGTTCTCGGATGCGCCGCTGCCGCAGCCCCTGGCGCTGCCCGCCCGGCCCCCGGCCCCCGCCGGTGAGCACAGCCCCTCCGGGCCGGGCCCTCGCTCAGGGGGACAGGGACACAGCAGAAAGGGGGAGCCCTGAGTGCCTGTGCCCCCCCCTGACATTCCCTGTGCCTCCCCAGGGATGGGCTCCAGCCCCAGCCCCTGTGGCTCCCTGCAGGGATTCGGCTTCAGCAGTGACAAGAGCGGGTCCGGTGAGTCCTGGCCAGGCCCTCACTGGGTCCTTTCCTGCTGGGAGCTGGGGCAGGGCCGGGGGGGTCACTCTGTGCCTCGTCCTCTGAGCTCCCAGAGCTCCCTCACCCCCTTTCCCAGCCCGGAGCTGGGTGCTGGGGTGATCCCGTGGGGCTGGGCTCCCGGGGTTCTCCCAACATCCCATCCTCTCACAGCTTCCACAGGAGAGGCCCTGCTGAGCAGCCTTCAGCGGGCGGCCGAGGCCGTGGCCCAGGCCGTGCTCCCGGCACCGGGGGGGCCCCGGCAGCTCCGTGGGGACCTCCCCGAGGACACCTACGAGCCCGTCCGAGCTCCATCCCCCGCCAGCAGCCCGGCCCTGCCGCCCCCGACCCCTCCCGCGCCACGCACGTCCCGAGGTGGGTCCTGCCCGGGGAGTTTGGGGGGGTCCCAGCCCTCATGGGGGGTTTGGGGACCCCAGCTCAGCAGTGCTGTCCCTGCAGTGAGCCACCAGCCGGGGCTGCCCGGGGGCGGCTGGGAGGAGGCAGACAGTGGGCACAGCTCCCAGGAATCCTCGCAGGGCCATGAGCGGAGCCGCGCCTCGGACTCGGGCAGCAAATCCGGCAGCGACAGCCGCTCCGGGGCCAGCCGGGAGCTGAGCCACGGGGCCGACAGGTGAGAGGGGCCCGGGGGTTCCTCTGCCCTGGGACTGGCCCAGGAGCACTCCCAGGAGCGCTGCCCTCGCTTTCCACACCACGGATCCAGAGTGCCCCGGCACTGCTGTCTGTGTTCCACCAGGAGTGTTCGTCCTGCCGGCTGTGGGCGGGCAGAGCTGCCCAGGGTGGGGGTCCCTGTGTGCCAGGGGTGTGCAGGGACCCCAAGAGGAGTGAGCAGGTGGCTCCTGTCCTCACGAGGTTTGTCCCCAGCAGGGTGGATGCTGACAGCCCGGGTGACTGCTGCAGGGAGCTGAGCCTGGTGTCGGGACTGACGCGTGGGGCCAGGGTCTTCCTCACCAGGGAAGAAGCTCAGCACTTCCTCAAGGAGTGAGTGTCAGAGGAGGGTGCTCCCTGGGGTTGGGGGGGCTTCTGGGGCAACCTGAGCCCTTCCCTGGCTGCCCAGGCCTGGACTGTGGGATGGGAAGGGGCTGCAGGTGACTGTGACCCCATCCCTGTGCAGGTGTGGGCTCCTGAACTGTGAGGTGGTGCTGGAGCTGCTGAGCCGGGCGCTGGAGGATCCCAGTGACAGTGTCCGCATGGTGAGTGAGCTCAGGGGGCTCCCCTGGGAGGGCCGGGGGTGTTTGGGGGCCTGCCAGGCTCAGCTGCCCTTTCCCACAGAGGTCCATGTGTGCCATCTCTGCCCTCGGCTGCTCTGACCTGCTCTCCCCAGAGCAGATCTTTGCCGTGACGCAGCAGCGCCTGCAGCACCTCAGCCAAGGCAGCCCTGGGCCTGTGGCCAACCGAGCAACAAAGGTGACTCTGGGGACATCCCTGTGCCCAGTCCCTTGGGTGGGGGCTCCTGGCACAGGTTTAACAGCCCTTGGGGACACACAGCCCTTGGGAATGGCTCAAGGAGGGGTGGTTTGGCTGCCTTTCCCAGGGCGGGGTGATGCTCCCTCTGAGCCCCGGGAGGGGACACCGGGGACAGTCCCTGTGCCTGGGAGGAGGTGCCAGGCTGAGCCCCTTGGCCGATGCCGCTCTCACTGTGCCCACCCCTGTCCCAGATGCTGCGGCAGTTTGAGGCCCTGTGCCGGGCCCAGCCCTCCCCGAGGGCCCCACGCCCACCCTCGGCGGGCTCGGCCGGGGACCTGCTCATGGACATCCCGGCCGTGACCAGCGGGACCTTCCTGACGCCTCTGAGCCCGGCCCCGACCCCCGCGGCCCCCGCTGAGGAGCCGGGGGTGGCATCGGAGCCCCCCGGGCAGCCTGGGGCCGCGGTGCCAGCCTGTCCCTGCGGGCAGGGCGGGGGCAGCAGGCTGGCAGGGGACACGGCGGCCCCCAGGCTGTCCCTGTTCGCCGGCATGGAGCTGGTGGCCCGTCCCGGCACGGTGCTCCGGCCGCGCTCGCCGCCGGTGGAGCCACGGACGCCGTCCCGGCCCCAGGACGGGGGCACGGACACGGAGGGCACCCTGCAGCCATCGGCCTTCCCCTTCCTCAACATGTAGCTGCTGTCGGGCCCCGGGGGCTGCGGGGGCTCTGCCCCCCTCCCTGCGGGGCCTGCGCTGTCCTGGTGCCTCGGGGACATGGTCTGAAATGGCCACAGGGCTTCCATCAGGTGACAGCGTCCCTCTCGCTGGCTGTGGCGTTCCGGGGCAGGCAGGGTGGCACAGCTCCTTGCTCCTCTGAGCTGGACAGGGCTGTGGGACACGCTGGGACTGAGCTGGGGGTGCTTTGGGGACCCCAGCATGGCCATGGGTGCTCTTGGGTGGCAGGGGGTGGGGTGGGAGAAGGTGCCGTCCCCACGGGGCCGGGACCCACCAATAAACCCCACTCGGGTCTGGGAACGTGTGACTTCTTCCTGCGCCGCTGATGGAGCCTGGCCCGTGGCTCCTCCTGGCCCGCAGCCCCACATTTTCCTACAGCCGCACAGCTTTCCGATGCTCTCCCCCATGCTACAGCCCCCCTGGTAGCCCCATGGTTCCCCCTCTTCCTCACAGCTCACCCCCTGCCCCAGAGCCCCCCAATAGCTCTGCTTTTTCCCATGGCCCCCAATACATAGCGCCATGACTCCCCCATATTCCTCACAGTTCCCCAGCAGCCCCAGTCCCCCTCTCAAGTCCCCAAAATCCCCATTTTACCCCCAAAAACCCCCATGGGGACCCCGCCCACCGGGGACAGGCCACGCCCATTTCCCCCCGCCCTTAAAGCCGCACCCATCTCAATACTCTCGTCCCATTGGTTCGCTCCTATTAAGCCCCGCCCCCGGCGCCAGCCACGCCTCCTTCATCCATCCCTCCTTATTCCTGCCCCCTTCCTCCGCCTTAGCCAATCGCGTCTCTTCTCCCCGCCCTCTCCTCCCGTCCCATTGGCCGCTGGCCGGCAGCCCCGCCCAATGGCTGTGGCCGGAGCGCGGCCGTAGGTGAGGGGATGGGGGCGTTTAATGGCGGCTGGGGGGGCTCCGGGGGAGCAAAGGGCGCTCCAGGGGGAGCGGGGCACGGGCAGGGCCTCACTCTCGGCATCGCCTCCGGAGCGCGGGGGTCTCACCTGCGTGCGGGTGCGAGGAGCCCGTTACCGTGGTCAGGAGGGGTTGGGTCTGGGGGCTTGGTGTCTGGCCTGAGGGTCTGCGGGGATTCGGAGTTAGGGGGTCCTGGAGGGATCCTGGAGGGCCTGGGGATATGGGTTGGGGTCGTGGAGGGCTTGGGCTGGGTTTGCTGGGCGTCCTGGGGAGGGGTCTGGGGCTTGGGGGCCATGAGGGCCTTGGGGTTGGGTGGCCTGTGGCTCTTGGTGGGGGTCTGGGACTTGGGGGCCTTGGGACCCGGGAATGGGTGTGCTGGGAGGCATCCAGGAACTGGGGGCTTGGGCTTGGACCTGTGGCTGGGGTCCTGTGCCTTGGGAGTGGGGGAATTTGGGGAGTTTTGGGAGCTTAGAGGACTAGGTGTGGGACCTGGGTGATCCTGAGGGGCTCAGAGATTTGGGAACTTCAGGCCAGGGCTTTTCTCTGGGTCATAAGGGGGCTGGAGGGCTTGGGGCCATGGGGGCCTGGGGAGTCTGAGCTTCAGGGGTCTGAGGGGCTGGGGGCCCAGGGGGCTGTGCCGGTCTGGGCTCCTGAGCCTGTTTTCCTGCCGTGAGCCCAGCGGTTTCCATGAGAGCCGTTTGTTTCCCCAGGCTGTAGAGTCTGCGGCATTGGCAAGGGCTGTGGTGGAGCCCTGGGAGGGGAGGCCAGGGCTGCCAGGGGAGAGGGTTTAGGGACAGCGTGGGTAATAAAGAGATAAAGCAGTCTGGTCTTTTGCTGGATCAGCACTGGGGCTGGGAGGATGCAGATGGGAAAAGGTGGGAATGTGCTGCCCCGAGCTGGGAGGGGCACCCAGCTGTTTCTGTGCCCCCTGAGAGGGCACGGGCACTTCTGAAGGAACTCTTAGCAGGGGGAGGATCCCTTGGGTGCTGCTCAGGTGGTTCTTCAGCATCCCAGCCCCGTGTGGGGTGTGGGGTGAGCTGGACCTCCAGCCTGCTCAGATGGGGTTGTTCTGGGCCCCTGTGATCCTCCGGCAGCCATGGCTGTGTGAAGTGAAGCAGCCTGAGACGGGCAGCAGGGCTTTTCCCTGCCTTTAGTCCTCGGCTGGAATCCTGGCCCATAAATGTGACAGCAGCCCATGGGCTGGGTGAAAGCAGTGAGGAGCTCTCCTGGAGTCTCTCCAGGGCTGTGCTTGGCTTATTTGCCATGTGGCAATTTGGAGGTTTTGTCCTGTTGGGGAGCAGTTCCGGCTCTGAGTGCCGGTGTTTGCCGGAGCTCCTGGTTCCAGGCTGGCTGCTCCATGCCTTCCCCTCTCTCTGTGCTGTGCTGTGCTTCCAGGGCTCCTTCCTGCTGCTCCAGCATGAAGAGCACGCGGAGCTGCTGCTCCGTGCAGAGCTCTGACGTGGCAGAGCTGATCCTGACGGGGCTCCCGGCGCCGGTGTCGCGGCGCCCCGGCAGCGCCTCTCCCGCCAAGCTCATGGCGCGCTCCGTGTCCGTGGCTGCCGATGGCAAAGCCAAGAGGAACGCCCCGGTGAGCCCCTGTCCTTCCCCTCCTGTGCCTGGCGTGTGGCGTGGCTCCAGGCACAGCCACGTCCCGCTCACCCCACTGAGGCCCTGTCCTTCCCCTCCCGTGCCTGGAATATGGGATGGCTCCAGGCATGGCCATGTCCCTCTCATTGTGGTTCCCCCAGCACCAGCCTGGCTTCGTTCTGGCATCACACTTTGCAATTGCTGCTCTCTGCTGGGTGCAGAAGAGCAAGCTTCAGGATTCCAGTTTTTCCCTTCCTTGCCCTTCACCTCCCTGTGCCAGTTTCCATCTGGAGACTCCTTCCTGGTGGGGTGTCAGGCCCAGCCTGCCCCTCATGGAGCACCCCCTGTTCCTGCCACACCAGGGGCTCCTGAGTGGGGGTTCCACAGAGGGAGCGAGCCCAGGTGCTTGCTGGGCTCTGTCAGGACCCAGCAGCAGACAGCCTGTGCTCCGTGCTGAGTAATCCCTTGGCAGCATTCCCACACCCTTGTTCCGAGAGCTGGTGCTAAGGAACGTGTTCCTGCTGGCTCAGCAGCGCCCGAGCGAGGTGTCATTGCCCGCTGCCTCAAGGGGAGCTTGGCAGCCCTGGGGTAGTGGAACTGGCTGAGAGGGTGGGGAGCCTGTCTGTGCTCCTCCTGAGTGTGGCTGCTGGATTTATCCCT